GATGAAATCTCTCATATCTTTCTGTATCCTTCCTCTAAACCATGACGCTGAACAATCTTTGTTTTCAGATCATTTGAAAGTTGTTTTCAGAGAAGATGCAAAGAGGAGAAAAACCTACAGTTGCCCTCCTTAAATACCCTTTCTCATAATTGGAGTCACCTGTGTATGGAGGTCAAGGGTCACTGAACCAAACCAAACCTAATTTAAGTTCCAATAATTAGTTCTAAAGGTTTTGAAATCAATAAAATGACAACAGTGCCCAAATTGATGCACCTGCCTAATTTAGTTTAAACAATTATTGCACACTTTCTGTAAATCATATAAAATTCATTTCACTTCTCTAATATCACTGTGTTTGTCCCCTTTATGATATATTTAACTGATTTTTTTAAATCCAAACGATTTACAAAGGTAAATCAGGAAAATTAACAAGGCTGACCAAACTTTTGCACCCCACTGTATCATGTAACATATGCCTGTATACGTTCAAAATGGGGGTGCATCTGTTGCCAATAACTTACAGACAATCCGTACAACTTGACGCGATGCCACGGCTACAAAAAACAACTATAATACACAGAAACGCAAAATAATATACAGATGTCTCAGCTGCACCACGGTGTCAAGAAGCCAGAATGAAAACTAACAGAAGTGACACATTTAACACATTTTCTCCAACTGTGCCACATGCATTTAATAACAGCATCAATACTGACATAATAAACTGAAAGAAAWCATTTAGAGAGTAACTTACCCCAAAATTAACTTTTTTTAGCTGATAAACTGCCTAGAATGTGTCTAAAATGTTATTTAGTACTGTTTCTATGCTAATTTTGAGTTTTTGTGTGTATTTGTTCAAATCTGTAATATTTGGTCTAAAACATGTTTTTGCTGCTCATATGGGTAGAGCAGTGGTACTGCAGGCTTGTTTCCATATTGGTTAACGGCTCTCCACGGTTTCATCACAGCGGCCGTGTAGTGATATAAAAGCCTCTCTCTAAGATGACCCTGCAGCAGTCCGGGGGTGGAACAGCTAGCATAGCATGATTGTCTGTTACAGCTTCGTATTAGCATGTTAGCGGCTAACATCACTACACAATCACACACATAGACACACAATGCCTCCGCAACACTAAGATTCATGATCGCTGAACTAACATTTTGAACCAGCAGGTTCTCACTGGACATCTGCCTCCCATCAGTCATAAATAACAAACTGACTTACTTTATTTATAGATCCTCTGTGCTTTAATATTATTTAAAAAATACTACAAAGTTTCTGTGTCACGTAGAGTTTAGATCAGGACTAAAACACACACATGTACACACACACACACCTACTACAGTGGTTTGCAAAAGTATTCATACCCCTTGAACTTTTCCATATTTTGTCACATTACAACCACAAACATAAATATATTTCACTGGAATT